TGCAGCAAGTGCAGCCGGTCTGATGGCCGAGTGCTGTGATGTGCCCAGTGTGGGCACTCAGGACACTCCAAGCCAGGACTGCTTTGCAAGCGGGGCACCCCTGAGAACTGTCTGTCCGGGGTGGGGGTCGGGTCCCTTTAAGCACAGCCCTCGGCTAGCCTGAGGCAGCAGCTCCACGCTCTACGTCGTCATCTGATGCCCTGCCGGCACTGCTTCCGGCCATCCTTAACCCCGGTTCAGGGTCCACTTAATGTGGACATGCTAGTTCAAATTAGCAAAACGCTAATTCGAACTAGTTTTTTAGTCTGGATGCGTTAGTTCGAACTAAGTTAGTTCGAATTAACTAATTCGAACTAAGTTAGTTCGAATTAGTTAATTCGAACTAAGTTAGTTCGAATTAGCGCTGTAGTGTAGACATACCCTAAGATATTCTCCATCTTATTCTCTATCCCTTTTTTAATGTTTTAATAAACATGTTTGTATATGTTAACGAAAAAACCCTTAACCTGTATGCCTACTTACTCTTTCAAATGATTCTGTAGGGTAGTAAAAGCTAGTGTATCAGAACATCTCAGTTGTTTAAAAGGTGCCGCCTTCAGATCCTCCTCTACTCCACTTCGTTGAAAAAAAAAAAAAATTGCTGATTCCTCACACTTACCTTCATTTCTAAGCCCTTTTCACTAGCTATCTCTAAGGGTACATCTAGATTACATGCCGCTGCCGACAGAGACATGTAAAATAGGCTACCCGACAGTCAATGAAGTGGAGATTTAAATATCCCTGGCTTCATTAAAATAAAAATGGCCGCTGCGCTGTGCCAGCTCAGCTGATCATCAGCACAGTGCGCGAGTCAAGACGTGGATCTACACGGATCTACAGCTACTACTACTGGGCTAGGTTGGCTCAAACTTCCAAATACTATCACTTATCGTATGAACAGAAACAAACTAGATGTCAGAATCCTACAACGAAGGTATTTAAAGAAAAGAATTGCTTCTCTTCTTACTCTCAGAAAACACACTGCATCTGTGTAGATCTAACATGTTTTTGTGAGAGAGGATGAGAGAAGGCTCTTGTTAAGAATGAACATAGAAGTGTTATAACCCTTGTTCCAGAATGTGAGGAGAGGCCTACCCCTCTATCCCCTTAGAAGCATATGCTCTAAATTAGGATATTCATCACCTCTGAAAGAATTTTTTTAAATCAGAAAAATCCTTTCAAAATTTGCTACATTTTATTATCTATTTGCAGGGATTATAAAATGTTGATCAGACAACTGAAAACTAATGACCTTACTTCATTTAAAATTGCCAAGCTTCCATGTATATGACCTGATGGCATACCAGTTTAACATTGCCAAATCAGCTGTATGGATCTGACCCTTTTTAAAGAAAAATCAGAAAAATCACAAGCAGGAAAAGAAAGATGACAGTTTAAGGAACCACCTTCAAAAGTCTGAACTACATAGATGAAAGTAACTTCCAAAACTACTTCAATTTTATAAGGAAGAAACATTGTCTAAATGTAGGTTTAGTTACCTGTGTTTGTTGCCATTTTCTTAACGGAAGTGGTGTTTTCAAAAGTTTGCCAGGAATCTGACATAGAAGATGCATTATTTGTGTCAGCATTATTCTCTATTTCACTCCCAAGCATTTTGCCTTCTATGCTAGAATCTGCAACAAGAACAGGTGAAGGAAGTCCCCTAGGAACATAAATTGGAGTTTATTTATTAATAATATTTAAAAATACAGCCTCTTCCCGACTTACAAGCCGGTTACAGACCAAACAACTGGTCGTAACTCGGTTCGTTTGTAAGTCAGACCCCATAGAGTTACATGCGATTGCGCTGTTCGTAAGCGCGGAGAGCGTTCGTAACTCGGGGTCCGCCATTTACGACAGCTTTGGTCGTAACTCCGAACAGTCTTAAGTTGATCGTTCAGAACTCGGGGACCGGCTGTAATCAATTTTTCTGTTTCTTATAGCAGCATGTTCCCCTTAATTGCTATTACAAAGTTATTTTGTAATAATCTGAAAAATTATTTCCCACAGAAATTCTGTATGAAACACCACCCACTCTTTGTATTTAAATTAAACTCTTGCATATTCTTTAACTTGAAAGTTTTAAGTTCATTTCTACCATCGTATTCTACCACCAATATGAAAATTTATCTACTTATGAAAGTGATCAGTTTCTTACAATGAGTAACAATAGCAAAATTTATCTGGAAAGGAGTCCGACTGCTAATGTATCGATAGGTACAGAAATTAGATATTAGAATGAAGCTACTCTATTTGTAAACATTTCAGGTTGCTCTTGAAAACCAGAATACTGCATCTGCACAAAAATATGTCTACCAAACAAATTCTTAAATTAAAACTTTTTTGGGTGGAAAAAAGGATATTTGTTTAAATATAATACTGAAGATGTAATTATGAACTATTCCATGTATCGATAGGTACAGAAATTAGATATTAGAATGAAGCTACTCTATTTGTAAACATTTCAGGTTGCTCTTGAAAACCAGAATACTGCATCTGCACAAAAATATGTCTACCAAACAAATTCTTAAATTAAAACTTTTTTGGGTGGAAAAAAGGATATTTGTTTAAATATAATACTGAAGATGTAATTATGAACTATTCCAGCAGTATCATATTATACTGCAATGTAGGGATTCCAGTAGAATTTCTGAGCTCATGTGATGCTCACGGCCTGCAGATATTGAATGTATTTAGAAGCAGTTCTCCCAAGAGCTAAGTGCAGAGCAGAGCAAACGCTTCCAGTTGTTCCAGAAGTAGTTTTCCTTGGACCTGGATTTTTTGGTGTAGGGATGGGAAAATTTAGGGCAGATAATTTTGCTTCAAAATAGACATTAATGGCAATAAGATACATTTTGTCAAACATCACTGCCTATTCCTCACCATTATTTCATAATGAAACAGAAGGATAATTATTAAATTACTATAGCAGGCTTTATTAAGATATAAATTAATGCATAAAAAGCACTTACAGAGAACTAGCTTGTCTTAAAATAGTGGAGCCATCATCTTCAAGAACTGAGGAACACATTGTCTTGTTCTATGGACGGAACAAATTTTACTATGATAAAGTGGTAATGTATAGATTGTTACAAAACTCTATCAGAGCTACCACTAACAGGAACACCATGATCTTGAAAAACTATTTCTATCCTAAAAATTTGTACATAGTTATGTCACACACATTACTATAATTGACAGAAATCAGCATAACATTTTCAAGTTTGTTTACTTTGCATGTTTGACATTTTCTTGTGGATGGATAGTTTCACTGTTTCTCAATTTTAAAAAATACCTGAGATTTCAAACAGAAGCCTCTAGTTTTTTCATTCAAACTGAAAAAAAATAATCAGGATCTATGATTTAAAAGAATGGAATATCAAAATTAATTCTGAAAAATTATGTTGATGGTGTTCTTTTAAGACAGAGTTTGCTTTTTGGTTAAAAATGCAGTTTAATATTGTGCCAAACCCCTTTTGTTAAAGCATGTTATCCAAGTCATAAGCCCAGAAGTGTATATTTTTAAACAACAACTAGTTTAGTATGTTAGTAATTAAGTAACTAGAACAAATTATGACTAATTTCAATGTTTTTCCTTCCAGCTTTTGGACAACAAGAAAGCTACAAGCATGATGGACCAAATGTGATACTAGATTACAGGCAGTCCTCGAGTTACGCGGATCCGACTTATGTCGGATCCGCAGTTACGAACAGGGCTTTTCTCGCCCCGGAGGACGGGAGCGGCGGGACACCTAGATGCTCCGCGGTCCCACCGCCCGCGTCCTCCGGGGCGAGAAAAGCTGCTCCGCATCTCCCTGGTCTGCCGGGGGGGTACCCCCCCCGGCAGACCAGGGAGACGCGGAGCAAAGCCGCGGAGGACACGGGTGGCGGGACTGC